CTGGTGGCAGCTCCAACGGCTCCTGCTGGGCCACAACAGATATCTATATATAAATACCTCTATTCTATATTTCTATATAGATTGATGGTGCAAAAATCTTAACACCTCATTGCGCTAACGATCGGGATAATGTGGATTATGTAGGTGTAAATGTTCAATTATAAGAACAGATGTGTTCGGTATGTTTTTCTTTTTTTTTTTTGACAGACTATGCCTTCATAATGACAAACCATTTTTTCTGCAGTTTTTTAACTAGCCAAGATTGTAAAGAGATTTCTCAGCAATAACCCCCCCCCCCCTTTTTAAATTAGTAGATCGCCTCTGAGTGCAGTTCTTGCTCCCCGTTGGCCGAGAGTCGGGTCTACCCAAGGAACATCTTTTAGTGCAGTTGGTTACAAGAATTTCACATCGTCCCTGAGTTTACAACGATTACTTTAGCAATCGTTCAAAATGTGAACGGCACCGAAAGAAACGTAATTTATAACTTGTCCTCGCACTTAGTTTCCTTTATTGCACCTCACCTATAAGACAGAATCTTGCCAAATTAAAGCAACAATTTGTAGCACTATCATTATGCAACAGTCTTCAACGTACAACAGTTCATCTAGTCACCGTTCGAAGTTACAGCCGCTGAAAAAAGTAGCGTATGGCCGTTTTTTCATATTTATGACCATGGCAGCATCCCCAGGGTTACCTGATTAAAAATTAGGATGCTTGGCATCTGACTCATATTTATGATGGTTGTAGTGTCCCGGGGGTCACGTGATCCCCTTTTGCGATTTGACAAGCAAAGTTGATGGGGAAGATGGAGTCACTTAAATCACATAGCAAACTTAAGAACGATGGCAAAAATCAGGCAGCTGCTTTCACTTGGATAAGAGATTGGATAAATCTAAAGAATAAAATAATTTTAACAATAGGACACGACCTACAACTAGGCTGGCATGCTTTTATTTGGGATGGGAAAAACAAAATACACAGTTATTTTCAAAGACACCAAATTAGAAATGATCTATTACAAACATGGCAAAAAATTAAAAGAAAACATTACAACAAAATACCAATTTGGTTATCAACTAGGGAAGCATTAATCTACCCAAATGTATTCGATATAAACAAAATAGCAAGATATGAAGTTTTACTGGACAATCAGGAGAAATTAAAAACGAAACAAGAACTAAAAAAATCAGGGAAAAGACATTGACTGGTTTCCATACATGCAGATTCAGATCAAATACAAGAAGGATTTAGAACTATACGAATTTTATAAAGAACCACAAGAATTAGACAAATTTCTACAAGGGGCAGAAGAAAAATTGATTAGAAAAATATACATTTATTTATTACGATTTAAAATGGAAGAGGGATTAGTGAAGGAAACCATGGTAACCTGGGCAACAAATTTTGTATGCAACAGAATTAGAAAAATGGGAAAAGGTCTGGGGAAAAAACTAAATTAACAATGGCGACAACATACAAAGCAAACTTATACAAAATGTTCTACAGATGGCATCTACCATCAGGGAGGATAGCAAAAATGTTCCTGAATTGTTCACTGGATTGTTGGAAATGTAGCCAGGCTCACGGGACATACTATCATATGTGGTGGACATGCATAGCAGCAAAAAAATATTGGACAAGAATAAAAAAATGGCTTGAGATAATTGAACAACCAATAGAACTAAAACCAGAACTATTTTTATTAGGAATAATTACAGGGAACTATGAGAAAAAAAATCAATACGTCATAACCGCAGCGAGAATTACA